CAACCCTACTTAGGTTCTGAGATCTGATGAAATTGGACTATACCATGCCACCTTCTCTCCCCTGTAACAATATATCTTCTTCCAAAGAAGTAAAAGTGGATGGGAAAGAAAATATTTTTTTTATAAAAATGCTAACAAGGATCACATGTAACATGTAATTCTGCCCTAAAACTGAGTTGTGAACTTTTTTTGTGCCTGTAATTTAGTTCATGCAAACTACTAATCATGCATGGGTTCAGGGGCTATGACCCTCCTGGCCCTAGTTTCTTGGCTAGCCCTAGTTGGTAATAGATTAGCCAGCAGGAGAGTCTGTTATGGATATTAGATGTTTAGGAGTCTTAACCTTGTCCTCTATGGAGCTGTTCTTTAAAAGGAAGGAGAGAAAAAAATCCTGCTCCTTCATAAATCAGAACCACCCACTTCTGTCAGATTCCCATAGTTGAATGAACAGAACTTAATGGCAACTGTTCCAGGCTGCTGATGATATGGGGCAAACAAAATGCTGGAATGTGGCTCTTCATTCATTGTAAGAAAGGTGACATCTGTCCCAGACATTAAATGCTTCTCTTCTTTGCCTGTACCAGATGGGAGAGGAAACTGATTTTTTTTTTAAAAAAATGAAGAATGCCTAAGCATCAACTTCAAACGAGTTTTGGAAATATTGAAAAAAAATTAAATTTACCCACAAAATTGTTTAACAGCTATACAAAGACACTTCAGGGGGAAAGGGGGGGTGATTTAGAACACGACATTTTGTCACTCAGCTTCCATCAGTAACAGGACTTCTAATGTTTTCTGCTATCCTATACAGTGTCACTAGTTTTGATCATCTTGTGTAATTTCAGTGAATATTTCTTATTACACTAGTTTTAACTAGTGCATTAAGCCTCAGTGTTCTGTGCATTTTAATTATCAGCACTGTGGCTGTGAGCTTGGAAGGGCCATAGGATTCAAATCAAGGTTGTCCAGCTTCTAATATGGGAGTCCTGTCCATTGAGGAAAGCTTTTGAAGGGTGGCCTCAAAGCCCGTATCATGCTGTGTCCAGCTGAATGTCTTTCCTTTTATTTTTTTAAATGCAGTTCTGGCTGCAACCACTGGGGTGCAGGGAAGTATGAGTGCAAGAAAAAAGGCTGCGGTCACACACACTAATAATCCACTTTCAATGCACTTTCCAACTGGATTTTGCCAGTTCACACAGTAAAATCCAATTTGAAAGTGCACTGAAAGTGGATTGAAAGTGGATTATTTAGTGTGTGTGACTGCAGCCTAGGATTGGCTAAACTTCCCTTGCTCCAAGACTGAAGCAAACTCACTTAGCAGCAACTGAGCCAGCATGCTGGTAGCTGCTATAGTAGTTGCCAGCCTGCAGGTCATGTTCTCAAAAAGTCTAGCCTTTCTCTCTTCCTTTCTTTGCACCCAGCTAAGGCAGATCTTTCAATGCAGTAGTAGTAAGATAAAACAGCCTTTCCCTCTCTTATTTTATCTCCCTCTTTTCCACACTTTTTGAATTAATTTCTGTTTCCTCTCCATCTAATTTTTCCATGCCCCCTCCTTATTTTCAATTCTTGGTCACAAGAACTTCTCATCCCTATCCTGCTTAGTTACAGAATGTATTTAAGAGTAGTATAGTAGCAAATCTTTGTTAATATTATGAACAGAAGGCACTGAGTTTGCTAGGCACTGTACATTATACCGGTTCTGTTGGGCTTCCAACCGCCACCACCACCACTTGGACTATATCCACCGATTCTGTTGGGTTTCCAACCCCCACCACCACTTGGACTGTAATTCTGTGTTTGACATCAGCTGGCATTTATACCGGTTCTGTTGGGCTTCCAACCGCCACCACCACCACTTGGACTATAATTCTGTGTTTGACATCAGCTGGCATTGCCACAGTGGCACTGGGTTTGCTGGGCACTATAGATTGCCCTGGTTCTGCTAGACTTCCAACCACCACCACCCCACCACCCTGCGTGGACTGTAATTCTGTGCTTGACATGAGTCCTGTTGAACTGGCATTGCCACAATGACAGTGGGTTCTGCTGAGCACCCTGTGATTGCACTGGTACTGCTAATACTCTGTACATTGCACTGGTTCTTTTGGGCTTGCAGAATGCCCCCCCTCCCAGTTTCTATTGCAGAGATTCTCTGGTTTGACTTTAATCCTTTGAAAACAATGGAGGGTGGGGACACCTTCTTTGGGGTGGTAGTGTATTTCTTAACATCCAATCTGGTGAAGTTTGCAATCACTATTATGTGATGCTTTGGCTAGTGTTAGTTAGTAAGAGTTAAAAGAACAAAGTCTGAGTCAAATGGCACCTTTGATACCAACAACATTTTATTCAAAGTGTAAGCTTTCATGTGCAAAACACACTTCTTCAGACAAAGCTGGATTAAAAGTTAGTCAAAGTTAGTACAAAGACAGACTCCTAGCTCTCAAAAATACCTTTTGCCTTGTAGATGTTTGAGATGGTCATCTTACTGTGTATTCATCAGGGATGTGATCTAGGTTAAACCTGAATGGCCTCGTGGTTTTCCCAATTTTCTTTAGTTTAAGTCTGAATTTTGCAATGAGTAGCTCATGATCTGAACCACAGTCAGCTCCAGGTCTTGTTTTTACTAGTAAGTAGGTAAGTTAGTAAGTAAGTTAGTAAGAGTTAAAAGAACAAACTCTGAGACAAATGGCACTTTTGATACCAACAGAATTTTATTTAATGGGCCTTAGAAAGCTTTGGTGTGCAAAACACACTTCTTCAGACAAAGCTGGAATAAAAGTTAGTAAAAAGTTAGTCAAAGTTAGTACAAAGACAGACTCCTAGCTCTCAAAAATGCCTTGTGCCTTGTAGATGTTTGAGATGGTCATCTCTTGGGCTTCAAAATGCAGAACAGAATGCAGAGCCAGTTTGGTGTAGTGGTTAAGTGCGTGGACTCTAATCTGGGGTGTGCAAAAATTCTACTTTGTGAGCGACTGGCATTAAAGTTGTGAGTGAGTGATTTGGCTGTTGCCTAAATTAGTTTGCTCTGGAGGCATCCTTCCTGAGCTAAAACAACAATGTGTGAACTGTAGGCTAAAAACCTGTGAGCTAAATCACACTAACTCAGCTTAGAGGGAACATTGCTCCCAAGTGCCTGGTGTGATAGATTATTTTTTCCCATCAAATCACAGCCAACTTATGGCAACCATGTAGGGTTTTCAAGGCAAGAGATGTTGGGAGATGGCTTGATATTGCCTGCATCTATGTCATTCCTGTTTCTTCTGCGATCTGATGAGATCAGGCGGTCCCGGGGCTATCAGAGCTAGACAGAGTGTAATGTGACTGGCTCAGGGTCACCCAGCAAGCTTCCATGACACAAGTGGGGATTCAAACCTGGATTTCCCAGACCCTAGTCTGACACTTTAACCTCTATACCATGCTGGCTCTCATGATGGAATAGCGCGTTGGAATCTGGTGTATATATGTTTGTGTGTGTGTAAAATTAATACAAAATTAATTTTTAAAAATCACTACCTCAGCTTCTTTTCTGCCATTATTATTATTTGTTTTATTTCATGATTATTACTGAAAATAATTTTGTTATATTGAGGAGGGGCCTGACCTGGATAGCCCCAGCTTATCCTGATCTCATCAGATCTCAGAAGCTAAGCAGATACAGAAGCAGGCAATGGCAAACCACCTCTGAACGTCTCTTGCCTTGAAAACCCTATGGGGTTGCCCTAAGTCAGCTGTGCCTTGACGGCAAAAAAAAAAAACAAAGGAGGGGAGGAGAGGTGTTACAAATTGTGTCCTGGGCGCCAAATAGGCTAGGTATGCCACTGGTCCTATCTAAATTTCAATATAATTGTTCTAGCACAAGGGAACTACACCCTCAGACCTCCAAGGGACTACACACAACCCTACTTCAAATGTCTGTGAAATTACCTTAGACAAGTGTTTTTTTTTTTGTTTTTTTTTTTTTAGTGTTTCTTGGCAACTCCAGGCAACCTTTATAATGGAGAAAACTGAGATGGCTATCTTGGTCTTTAGCATGAGGGCTGTACTGCAAAGTATGCTTCTCTTGTCAAAAAAGGAGATGTGAAGAGGGGGAGGGGAAGGGGGGTGAGGTATGAGGATTTTTTTTTAATGAGAGTTCGGGGGGGTGTGAAATATTTTCCCTTTTTATAGACAGAACATCAGAAGGACTGGTGTGGAATAGGAAAAAAACCAGTCCATCTCAGTGCATGGAACACACAAATATACATTCCCAAGCTTTCCTTCAGGCCCTTTTCACACCTGTGCTGGACCAACCTATGAAAGTGCCTCTTCCCAGCTGTTCTTGCAGTCACTTGACTCTATGAAATGCTGCCATCTTTGAGACACAGAAAGGAAAACAAGATAAGTGGTTATGAGACTTCCCTTCATTATTTCTTTAAAAAAAACTGTTCATTGTATGTGAGACCCTGACCTAGATAGGCTAGTCTAGCCCGATCTTGTCACATATCAGAAGCTAAACAGGGTCAGCCCTGCCTATTATTTGGATGGAAGACCTCCATGGATTACCGGGGTTGTGATGTGAAGCCAGGCAATGGCAAGCCACCTCTTAACGTTTCTTGCCTTGAAAACCCTACAGGGGTCGCCATAAGTCAGCTGTGATTTGACGGCACTTCCCACCACCGCCTTTGTGGATAACATTAGAGATGGTCTCATCTCCCGAGCCAAACAAAAGTCTACCTGACACTAGACCTGTTATGGGTTTCTCATTTTGACTCAGAAGGTTCAGCCTTCTTGTCCCACCCAGGGATATTTTTATTTTATTTTAAGTTTTCACCCCTGAGTAATACAAAAGTGTATGTGTCTAAACTCATGCATACACACATCTGCATATGCAGAGAAACATATGAATAATTGTTTTACAATTGATGTGTGGGGAAGGTAGAAAACCTTTTGAAAAGTCACATCCTTCTTGGATATGGACACAGTTTTCTAACCCTGCTAACAATTTTTATTTTCTCCATCAGGTTGTCTGGAATGAACATACCTCCTCCGATTATCAGCAACAAAAACTGGCTCCGACTTCATTTTGTAACAGACAGCAACCACCGATATCGTGGGTTTAGTGCTCCCTATCAAGGTATGTTTAATGATAATCATTTCCCCCCCTTTCCAGACCAAGAAAAAGAGTTCTACAAACATGAGTATTTCTCCTATTAAAGGGGGGGGGGATGCCCTTATCTGTTACAAATGGATTGTTCAGATATACATAAACAATAATTCTCCTGTTGTGGGAATAACAAGGCAGTTGTAAAATTACAGTACAGACTACAGCAGTTCCTGTGTCATTTATGAGCAGTTAAGAGGCATTTGGGCAGGAAAAAGAATAACATAGTGAAGTAGTTCTAAATACTGGAAAAAAAAATGATATTAGTATCCTTTTGCAAAAACAGTGCATAAGAACAGAATTCTCGAATGGATTATTTATCAAGTGTGCTCTATTTCATTGCATGCCATATTCTTGCATATTTAAGTTGATTCTTATCTACTGTTGTTGTGAGTGCCTTGAAAACCAGTAAAACCAGAGAAGACTTTATCTTGGGGACTGCCCTGCTGGAACAAGGTCATTAGAAGGATGAAACACTGATGAAAATGTGTATAATGTGTGGCAAGGCTGTCTGCTTTTTCCAACCACACTATTTTGTAAATGCATTTAAGACTCCATTATGTGTCAAGTAATCTCCAGGAAATAGTAACCTCTCCTGACATCAGAGTTGTATTTTCTTCTTCTTCTTCTTCTTCATTTATCATAGCAGTGTTCCTGTGTTATTTACCCTGGGGGCTTTGTTTGAGGGATCTTTTCAGAATGTTAGGACTTGGTGATATATGGAAATAGTTTACCTCTACAACCGGGTTTGTAGAATCTCTATTAACATGTTGAATTTTAGAGTGCATGTACAAATTAACCTCACTTCTCTGAAGGTGTAACTACATGGTACACCCAACACATGTGGTGTCACAGTTGTGTGATCAGACTCACAATTAGATGATAATCAGGGAACTCACCTTGAAAAGCACACGTTCACTTGGTACTGTGATGGGGAAGGATCTTCTGTTTCTCTCCTACCCTTGTTTTGCCAGCAGAACTGATGAGAGGGGGCTTTTTTCCTCTTTTTTTCTGGCCCCACATGTAATGCTCCTTCTAAGCTGTGGAGTCTTGTGAACAAAAAGTCTACTTTGTGAGCTACTGGCATTAAAGTTGTGAACGAGCAAGCAATTTGGCTATGAGTTTGCTCTGGATCCATCCTTCCTGAGCTAGGACAAAAATGTGTGAACCGGATAGGGTTGCCAAGTGCTTTTTTAGCCACAGTGGGGGACTCCTTGCTGGCGGCTGGAGTGTGTGTGCGTGTGCTTTGCACATGCACACCGCACACACATCACCCGGAAGGGACGTGACAACGCTGGGCATGCTGGGGGCGGGGCCACAACCATCCGAGGGGAAACCATAGAGTTTTCCCTCGGATGACCGTGGCCCCACCCCCAGCGTGCCCGGCGTGGTCGCGTCACTTTTGGGTGACGTGCACGTCGGGGTGGGGGTCCCCCCCAGGGCCCGATCCGCCGTCGGCAGGGAATGGGCCTCTGGGGTGGGGATTTCCCCACCCCCCGGGGGGGACTTGGCAAGCCTAGAACCAGAGTCTAAAAAAACCTAGTTCACACTAACTCAGCTTAGAGGGAACACTGCCTACAGGTCCTCCCAACTGAGAAAGGGCAAAAAGCCCTCCACCCTTTCCGCTGGTGAAAGTGGGGCTGGAGAGTAACAGAAGCTCCTTCTTCCCCCTCACAACACTGCATCACAGAGCCAAACAAATGATTTTAAAGATTAGTTCCCCCTAATGTACATCTGTGAATCCAGCCACAGACCCATGACCCCACATGTGTCAGGCTGTAGAAGCTCACACAGCAGTGTCTCCCCAAATTTCCCAGCAAGGCCCCTTTGCTGCCTTGCAGCCCTGATAGGGGACTGGGGCAAGAAGGTGCCTCTTTGCCCTGTCCAATTCCTTTAGGTGGGATGTTGGAACCCATATCTGATAGCCTGCCATGAGGCCTGGTTTTGATAACTGCCCTGGCCCATGGCTACATCCAAAGATACAACACCCAAGAGGAATTTTTACAGTAGTGCTGGCAAGCAGTCTTGGCTATCCGGAAGGAATTGTGCAAGGTTCATTAGTTAAACAACGTAATTACTACAAGGCACAAACTCAGCGAGTAACTACAAGACAGTTTGAGGTAGAGCTAAGTAAAGAACATGAAAGAAAGGTTACTGGCTAACTTGCAATCCTTGAACCTCTGGTCCAGCCTCTGTAGGAAGCTGTCTGCTTGATACAGAGTGTACCAGCTCAGCTGCACCTTGCCTATTCCCATCCAGCTCAATTCCATCTAACTTCTACATGCAAACTGACAGCTCCCTTTTTAGACCCCCTCCCATGTGGGCTCATAGGGCATTAGCCAATCTGGGTGCCAGGTTCTGGGGCTCAACTCTGCCAGAACATAGTCCCTCCAACCAAGAGTCTTCTACATATCAAAAAGATGACATGTTTTCCCTTTGAGTTGTAAACTGGAGGAGCACGGACTGTAATCTGGGAGAATCAGGTTTGATTCCCCACTCATCGACATGCAGCTGCTGGTGTGACCTTGGGTCAGTCATAAGTTCTTCCAGATCTGTTCTCTCAAGGGCAGTTCTCGAGAGAGCTCTCTCAGCCCCACCTACCTCACAGGGTGTCTGTTGTGGGGAGGGGAAGGGAAAGGGATTGTAAGCGACTCTGAGACTCCTTCGGGTAGTGAAGGGCAGGTTATAAATCCAATCTCTTCTTCTCTATCCAGTGAAGTGTACCAGTTCCCATACTCTCCCAGTCTTTGGGACTCCATCTCCACTGTCCACCAGCATAACTATCACTGAATATCTGTCATTTGCCCCTCACCTCACAACACAGGCATATTGTGTAGTTATACCCTAAATGCATACATGTCTGCCCCTTGATACTGTATTCAGTTCAGGGAGCCAATGTGATTCAGCAGTTAAAGTTTAGAAATGAGACAAGGAAGATGCAAGTTTGAATCCACACTCTTCCATGGAGTTCACGGTGTGACCTTAGCTCAAGTTGTTTTCTCTTAGCCTAACCTCGCCTCACAACATTATTTTGCCTCAGAACATTATTTTGAGAAAGGGGGAGGGCTGTGCTCTGAGCTCCTGGAAGAATGAGCAGAATAAAAACTAAAATAAAATATTGAATATTTTGTAGCATACTGTACCTCTGTAGCTATGTCTAATGCCTTGCTATAATTGTGGCCCCTGTGGAGAGAACTTTAAGACTGTAATCAACCAAATGCAGGTAACTCATGAAATTACCGTTGAAGAGTAATACAGATATTTTAAATGAATAAATAAATGGGTGGAGGGATGTAAGCATTTAAAATAAGTTTGCAAGTTTTACTCAGAAATGTTCTTTAAAATGGACAATGGTTTTCTTATGTACGGACAACTTCATACAACATTTATACCACTTTCTTTTTAATATTGTATGTCATACTGAACAATTCGTACTGTACAGATGATTTCAGACATAAATCTCTGAGCTGAAAAAAATTACTTTTTTCCTGATAACAAATGTGAATTTGAATAAAATGAGGTCTGTAGGTGTTCTAGACCCTTTTTCTCTAGAGCAGAGCCATTCGTATGAAACTATTGCATTATTAGAACATTGTTGCATCCACTCTGTGTATATCAAGACATGGGCACACCAGTATCTAAGCAGAAGATGATAATTTAGGGAACAAGTGTCCTCGTGGATCATAATTTATCAAATTATGGAACAAGTAGGGGATTTTTCCAACAGGTGACTATCTTGAAAAACAACAGCAACAATTGTTCACCTTGTCAGGTAAATGGGAATACAATATGGACATTGTTCTGCTAGGTCTTACTGCAGTGTCCAGCATTATAGTTTGTGAAAACTTTATAGAAGCTTTGCAGCACTGTGATTCAACAAGAGACAATTCTAAACAGAATTACACTCTTTTAAGTCCATTTACTTCATTTGACTTAAAACACTGCAACTCTTCTCCAGATTTTTCACTTTTACTGGACAGTTGCTGTTGCGTTTAAAAGGTGGACAACACAGGTGAAGCTAGACCCAAAAGGACAATATCAGATGTGTTTTTGGATTTGATTTAGATGTTCCAGACAGATCTAGTGAGTCAGTAGCTCCTACATGAGCACACAAGTATTTTATTTTTGTTGTGCCATTTTCAAAATGCCACCAGGGCTCTTTTTATAGCAGGAACTCCTTTGCATATCAGGTGACACACCCCTAATGTAGCCAATCCTCCAAGAGCTTACAGAGCTCTTCTTACAGGGGCTACTGTAAGGTCTTGGGGGATTGGCTACATTAGGGGGGTGTCACCTAATATGCAAAGGAGTTCCTGCTACAAGGCCATTGGCTTGAGTGTATTTAAGCGAACCACCGACTGTGTTGGATTTGCTGGAATTATAGCAATGTCTTGTGTATGAAGCAGAAGATGAAAGGAGATCATGCAGTGGGAGCAGGGTCTAGTTAGACAGGACTGTAGGGGGAGTACCTTCTGTCAGAAGGGGCTATTCCTTGTCTTTCTGCAGAATGCTGTTGTTAGGCTGAGCTTCTAGAACAGTTTAGAACTCTCTATCTGCTAGTAAGGCAGCTAGGTTTATCCCTTCTCTTTCCTATCCAGTTTGTTAATTCCACAAATAAAACTTTTGTCCCTCTTTAATTCGTTCAGTGCCCTGACTGCTGCATAAGCACTCTGCCAAGAGGATCATTGCCTGTAGACCTGTCAGCCGGGCTGCCAATATCTGTTATGAATCCCCACAAGAAGATTCTTTAGACTTCTGTCTCACATTGAGAAGAACACACATGGGATGCTTGGTGGGGGCTGCATCTGCACACTGGATATTGCACTATTGTTTCAATGTAACATTCATTCACAGATGGGCTTTGACTGCTATTGTACAACAATAGTGCAATATCTAATGATTCATTGATGAAGCAGCCTAGAACAGTCAAGGCAGCTATTGTTCTCTTGTGGTAGCTTGTATTACTCCCTAGT